TATTGTTACCGAGAAGCTTCTTGATAACTTATAAATCTTAGAAATAGCAGTTATCAATACGTTAGCATAAAGTAGTAACAGGAGTCCACATTCTCACTGCAACTTTAAAACACAAGGTAACAAACAGCTGGATGCAATACACGTACCAGCTGACATCTAAAAACTATTTATTAAATAAAAATAGCATATTTATAGTCCTTATTTTATTGGCACCCTTAGTTTTATTAATTGAGACATTAGAAGACTCCTAATTTAATATAAAGTAACTTTGAAAAATATATTCTAATGTGAGAATAAATTTTACAGGGCACAAATAATTAGAATTTTATTTTACCTAGCATTTACCATTTCCTATCCAGATGCTTTTGACAAACACTGGTATTAAGTTGACAAAGCATTGTTTTATCTTTTTTCCTTCACACAGGCAAAGAGAATGAAAGAAAAACAACAGGTAGAGGCAATCCACCAATGGGCAATCAATTCACTGTATATGTTCAAAATAAAGTTACTTAGTGAAATGCTGAATAAGTTTTAAGTAAAAAAGGAAAAATTTATTAAAGTATACATTGACTGAAATAAATTTCAGAGTAACTACCTAAAACTTAGCCAGAAGCTCCATGATATAATTAGTAAGCCCATAAATCAATAAAGTGATCAAAATTATTTAACTGTCTTTATGGATGCTGCCTTTAACATCTTTATTTAGTCTATTTGTACAACAGTTAAAAAACATTCAATACCCTATCACTGGAAAAGATCACCTAGCAAGCTACCTCAGGACATCAGGATCCAGTTTAAATTTAAAAGGTTTCATTGATACAAATAGCATAACAAATAGCATTGATACAAATAGCATAAGAGAGTAAGCTTTAGAACCAGTTTACTATAAAACCCAAACTCAAACATTAGATAATTACTATCTACAGTTCTCTTATTCTCTAAGATTCTTAATTTAAAAGTGAACATATTTCTAATATTCAAGCATCTCATATACAATCAAATAATTTTAAGTTGTATAGTGATATTCCAGTCCAATACTGACCTTCTGCAGAATAAAAACCAGATGAAAATTCTGCAACTCATGTTGCAAATATTTTTACTTAGAGAAGTAATTTAAATTTATTTCAACATCTTGTACATTTCCCCTTAACTTGTAAGTTTTAAGGCACCTTGGAAACAGTCAAAAATTTTGATTATCTACTGAAGTAAAGGAAAAAAAATCTTTCTAAATTGCTACTAAAATAATCAGTTGCTCTGTACCCTCAATTTGACCAACATTAGGAATAAACCCACCAGTTATTATGAAGTATGAAAAATAAGTCATACTATTTTCTATTGGTGGGTGAATTTTAAAAAATGATTTTTTTGAAGGCAGCACAAAAGTTCCTCATAACTTTTCTTGTTCAAAATGGAACCAGTTGATGACTAAAGAGGTTGGTTTTAAAATCTAGTGCTCAACTACGTTCAAAGTACAACAGATGATATACCGAGTCAGTTATTACTGCAAATGGATAAATTCATTCTATTCTCTTAGCTACTGCTTCCATTGTGCTCATGAGATTTCCAAAGAACCAATAAATTAAAAGATTTACATCCTCAAATGGTAATAAGTATCTTTAAATACCACTGTAAAATATCTATGAACACTGAAAAACATTAGCTTTCGGCACAAGGGTAAGCCATGGTAGGCCACTCCTGTGCATACATGGCTGAAGTAAAAATTTTGTCCAATGTTACAATGAATCACTGCATGGCCAAAATGTCTGTCTCTTAACTTGTTCTAAAAGAAATTCGATTTGAAAAGGCTAACAGTAAAACTTCAGCCTAATCTCCAAGACTACTGAATCCTCAAAAATGAGGAGAGAAAAACTCAAGGCATATAGTTAGTCACAACCTTATGTCTTAGGATATTTCAATCATTATCAAAGTTTTCTATAGAGTGAACATGTGACATCATTGCTATAAAAGAAAAAAAGCTTTTGAATAGTTAGTTCATAAATACAAAACTATTCCTAGTGCCAGTCAAATCTAGACACTGTATCAATACCCACCCTATCAACACAAACATACACAGGAACATATTATTTCATATCATTAGGCATATGACATATACATATGACATATACAAATGACATATACTAATCAGTAAGATCTCCTTGATATTCAATAATAAAAGTTTCTATTTTAAACTATACTTTTGGGGGAAAATGACTCTTTTGTAAAATCAGCCAATTTCTCTCTGTATCAGATCCAATTTCACTATCTCAACAAATATTTATCAAGTACCCACAAAAAAGGCAAAGAAACTTAAACATGAGCTTTTCATTCAAATCTTAGACTTTGCATGTAAAACACGTATAATTAGTTACCTAAATGTTATCAATCTCTACCACTTCACCAATGTTGAATTTCTATGGGAAGATACTCTTGAAAAGATCCTTAAATAGATGGATCAAGTTTTTTATGATTAATCCTTTACTATATCTTACCAGACGCTCCTCTCACATGGTGGCTCTTTACTATGGGGGTTTCACTTTCCCTTTATACAGCTAAGAGAAAATATTGGAATTCTACTGCAAAGGATTCTTTTGAGGATAAAATGAAAATCAATTTGTAAAGTAAAAGAGATTCCAAAGCCATGTGGAAATGCTTTTTTTTTTTTTTTTTTTTTTGGAGGATTACACTGTTCTCTTTAAATATCCTCTTGGAGTATTCATTACCATTAACCCCTAAATTCAGAAGCTAAACATTACTATGTGCTCAGGCAAGGTGTTGCTAGAAACTAAGAATACAGTAGAGAATGAATTGGATCAAGCCTCTGCCCTCCTGGTACTTATTATACATTTAACTGGTGTTGAGTCAATGTGCAAGGCACCGTATCAGAGCTTTAATGCACACAAAAGAACATATATTTTGTTGCTAGAGTTTACAATATACTGGAACAGATAACAAGAATATATAATGGTAACAGAAAGTAGGAAGTGATATGTACCATACAAAGAGAAAGAGATGACTTTCATGGGGTTACAGGGTGGGTAGAAAGTAAAAGAGGACAGAGCAATCACTTTCATGCCCCATACCACATTTTTAATCATGCCAGTTTAGTATGTGCTCTTCAGTTGTACTGTGATGCTTGGTACATTAAAAACAAACTGGCCACATGTGTCCCAACAATTTACTTTGGGGCTTCCTCAGATAAAGCAGCTTCACAATTTACTGTGAATGTCAAACAAGGAAATGCAAGCGAAAACTCCTAATGTAGTGCAGAGATGAAAAGCATGGGGGGGAGTGGATAACTAAGATCATTCTGGATCTGTGCTCTTAAAGTTATTTATCTGAGTATTAGTTTTCTCTCCCAAAACCTGGGGATGAAACTATCCAACTGGTTCTTCCATACTATTTGACTAAGCCACCTTTTAAAAGTATGATATAGAAATAATAGTCTTTGTAAAATGTAATTTACTATAAAAATATTTCTTCCTCCAGGTTGTCTATTACAGACAGACTACAGTCCTAAAAGTCAGAAGACCCATTAACTGGTTATCTTATCTATTGTAGGCCTCAGTTTCCTCCTCCATAAAATGTCAGGGTGGGACTGGATGATAAATAGTCCCTTCCGGCCCTTAAAAAGTCCCATGACTTCACTATGACTCAATAAATACTATTTCAAGAGTCAACTTTTAAGAGTGATATGAACTTGAAGTTAAATGAATGTCTCCTTTTTCTGTGAGATACTTCTAGCTAAGATAAGGTCTTGTTGAGCAAGTCCAAACAGCATTCTAATTACAAAAAAAGAGGGCTGAAAAATAAATTTACGAGTTAGAAGCTTTAAGTTATAAGCACTAGATATACATTAGATGCTACCAGCAAAACAAAAGTTCAATTAGACAGAATTGATTTTAAAAACTAAAATCACAATCTTCATTTAGTGTCAACTTCTACTCCATAAAAATGTGATTTCCCGTTACTGCAATACAGAACTGCTTTAATTCATACCAACCAGGAGTTACAGGGCCGAAATTTTTTTCTAAACTATTAAAGAGGGTGGGAGGGGGGACAGGCGAAGGGGAAGCAAACCATCTGCTCTAACTCGCAAAGATCATCTTTTCTCCAAAAGGCATCAGTTTTTCTAAGAAGAAAAACCCGGAAGATTTTTCACTGGGCGTAGCTTTAAATAAAATTCATGGCGCTGATAGTTTTACAATTAGACACATCGAGATGGCGAAAAAGAAGAGGACAAACTTCCTGGATTTTCTCTGCTTGTGTTAAGAGAAAGAGATTTCCTCTTGCTGACGAAGGGAAAGGCCCCTTTAACAGTTTTTCTCTACACGGTGGTGGCTGCCAGACTAGGTGGGGCTCCCTCCGCTGCCTTCCTCCTGCCACTTCCCGCAACAAATGGAGCAAGCCAGCCCCGATTCAGGCAAACTTTTTCCCTGTCAGGCTCGAGCCCGCAGGGCGCCGGGGAGTGGTTTCCCCCGAACGCTCCTCGCCCAGGCTCGGGGCTGGGGGAAGCAGGGTCTTCGCAAAGGACAACTTTCTGGTTTCCGTTGTAACTTCCACCCACACCCGGGAGGGAACCAAAGCGAACAGCGAGGGGGCCCCGGGGCGGGGAGCGAGTCCTCTGGGGAGCCGGCGGGGAAAGGCGGGCAGCGGGAGAGGCTGCGGCGGCCGCGGGCTGAAGGGAGCGGGCGGGGGGGGGGTCCTCGGGCTCTCACTTCCTCCGCCATATTTCAGACATTTGACCCCTTCCGCAAAGCGCGCTGTTTCCCCGAGGCGGCGGCTCGTCCTCGCGGACCCGGGAGGCAGTGCGCTCGCCGGCCGGGCGCCGGGCCTTCGCGCCACCTGCCGTGCGCCGACGGGCAGCCGCTGCCCGGGCCCCTGACCGCCCCGCCCGGCCCGGCCCGCGCCGCACCCCACCCGCTCCCCTCAGCCGGCTCCCGGCCCCCGCCCCGCGCGGCCCCCGCCGCTCCCCTCCATGGCCACGCACGCACTCTGCGAACCTCTCACGCTGTCACCGGGTCCCCGCAGCCAGCGTCGCTCCGCGCTTCCTCCGGGTCTCTACTCCCGGCGCCACGGCAGTCCTGCCGCTGCCGCTGCCGCCGCTCCGGCTGGTTTACACGCCTGACTCTGGGCGAGGTTTGGCGGTGTCGCCTTGACGTCAGGCGTTCAGCCTCGCTCTCGCTTCCGCCCGCGGGCGGGGCGCGCGGGTGCGCGGCCCGGGAAGGGGCGGGGCCGCGGGGCGGGACGAGGGGCCGCGGGGGCGGGGCCGCCGCGCGCCGGGTCCTCGGCTCGGCCTCACGCGGGCCTCCCGCGCCGGCGGAGCGCATGCCCGGCCCACGCGGCGCTTTGGCGGCCTGTCTTCCGCGGTGTCGCTCGCTGGCCTCCGCCGCCCTGTCAGCCTCGCCTGCGCAGGCTGGCTGGTGGGCGGCTTCGCCTGTCGGCTTTTCCGAGAGCGCGCACTTCCCCACTGCAGCGGGATACGGTGGAAACCTGGGCTTAGAAACCCTCGGAAACCCGAAAGGTGCCTCCTCAATGCAAACTGTAATCCAGTCGTCAACGCCTCGAAACTGTTGGTGTTCACGTCTTCCTTTGTGCTGGGCTGAGTAACTGAGAAGTAGCCGAGAGCGTGCAGTTTGTACGCCTCTGCAGAGCTCCCGTGAAGGAGCCTAGGCCAGGGCACCCTTTCCTTTCCTGAGATGGCCTTTCTCTTGAATTGACAAGTATTTCATCCACTGGAGTCTTCATCTGGGCGAACTCTTTCCAAATTGCCCTGCCAAGTGGTTCCCAAACAAGTTTGTAACCCTGAGCCCAAATAAGCATCATTTGTATGAATAAAATAAATTAACGTATGTAAATGCGTGACTTGGGCCCTTTGATGGCTTTACCGCATTACCCTTGGGTAGGTTTATGATGTGACTTCAGGGCACCAGAAAACAGCCAAAAAGGTCTTGTTCCCAAAAGGGCAGGAACTTAAGGAAACTTGACCATCCCACACGAGAAACTTATCAGAACTTTTTTTGACGAGATGTTGATAGGCAAACAGATTCAGAGAGAGAAAGTGCAGGGAAAAGTGGGGGTTGAGAGCCATTGAACACTAACTTTTGCTTAGTTTGTAGTTTAACTGGGCCATGTACAAATCATTCTTGAAATAAATCTTTTACAAACTTTGATACATTTGGAAGATAACTAAGCTAACTTTAGTGAATAGATAAGAATAAATTATAATTATCTGAACAGTTTCCTGTATGTAAGTCCTTCTAGGTGTTTTACAATTTAGGTTAATTGAATATGTTACCTACTTAGATAATTTCTGTTTCCTTAGAAAATCCTTTTCTTCTCAAATTAATTTATTTATTTTAAGATTGACAGATAAAATTGTATGTATTTATGGTGTACAACATGATCTTTCAAAGTAATGTATATATACATTGTGGAATGTATTAAATCCACATGGTTAAATCCAGCTAATTAACACATGGATTATCTAACATAGATACCATTTTTATGGTGAGAGCCTTAACATCTACTCTTTTAGAAAACCCTTTCTAAATGGAAATTTCAAGAGCAAATTTCAGAGCTGTCTGTTGGAATTATTATAAATTCTGAATGACGAATAAATTTGACTTCACTAACTTTTCAATTGTTGCATAAAAATGTTGAGAAGTTTGAAAAAACTTTGAGCTCATGGAAGCAGTGGTACCTAGGAAAATTGTGTTTTTTCTTTTTGTGTCTTTTTTTAAAAAACTTTCTTTGACCTTTGGGCAGTTTAAGAAGGTTGAAGCTAGAAACTTTAGAGTTTGAGAGAATGTGTAAAATAGTTTATTTTAATTAAAAGTACATTTATTTTCTCCTATTAGACTGGAAATCATTGCACTTGTATTAAACTGTTGTCACTGGGCAGAGAAAACTATAATCTCCATCTCTTAACATTGAACTCACTTTTGAGTTTGATCCCTTTGTTCCTATTTTCTTGACATCTGCACCAGAATATTCCGCTGGCAACAGGTCATTCATGTATGCAAACAGAACTCATCATCTTTGTCACCAAACCAGTTTCTTTTCCTTTTCCTTTATTAATTGTATTACCATCTTTTTATTTACCTAGTCTTCAAGCTGACACTCCTCTCTCTGCCTTTTCTTGAATAATCCACCAGTTGGCACATCTATTAGATAGTAATTTGACAAGCTCTTTCATTTTGTTTCCTCTTTTCCATTTCGACTAAGACCACACCTAGTGATCTTTATTTGCCAACTTTAGGCTGGTACAACTTCTCATGTCCCAGACCTTTGCAGCCTGGTGGACCTTTCCAGTCTATTTCTGCTGTGATCTATTCTATATATTCTTACTGTATGAATTACCTTAAAGCATATGGAGCAATTACTCCCGTCCTCAAAGAGCCTTCAATTACTCCCCTGCCCTACCAAAATAAAGTTAAACTTCTTGTGTCTCATTTTTCCCTTTCACTTAAAACTGCTTTACCTTCAGGATAGAATTTTCATCTTGCCTAAATAAATTGCTTCTCTACCTTTCTGTTGTGCACAGATAATTAATTTCCTCTGCCTAAAATGCCACTTCCCACCCCATCTCATTGTATAAATACCTTGCCCATTATTCAAGGTTTATCTGCTTTCTCTAAGAAAGAGCGTCTTTTCTGATACTTATAACCCAATGTGGCCTCTTCTCTTTTGAATCCCTGTAACACTTTATTGTTCCTTTCCTTTGTCACTTGTGTTTGACCTTCCTACTAGAAAGGGGATTTGCAAACTTTTTCTGTCAAGGCCCAGATAGTAAATATTTTGGCTTCATGGGCCAGACAGATGGACTCTGTTGCAGCTACTCAGCTTTGCAACTACTCAACTCGGCAAATGTAGCACCAAAGCAGCCATAGATAATACGTGAGAGTGAATCTGACTGTATTCTAATATAACTTTATTTATGGCTACTAAAATTTGAATTTTACGTAGTTTTTATATGTCACCATATCTTCTTATTTTTTCTTTTTTTTTTAGCCATTTAAAAATGTGAACGTTAGTCTTAGTTTATGGCTGCATAAAAACAGGTGGCAGACTGGATTTGGCCAGTGGGCCATAGTTTGCTCAACCCTGTACTCAGGGCCAGCTGCATGGGCTGTGACCCCAGCAGTCACACAGGGCCCTATACTTACAACAGCCTCATGATGGATTTAATGCTGTAATATCACTGACTATCTGATGTTTTAGATAATTTTTGAATAGGAAGCCTACATTTTCACTTTGTACTCAAATTATGTAGCTGGTTATGCGTCTACTAGAAGACAATTGACATCAAGATGTATATTTCTATTTTTTCTTTTTCTTTCTTTCGTTTTTGTTTTGTTTTGTTTTTTGAGACAGGGTCTCACTCTATTGCCCAGGTTACAGTGCAGTGGTGTTATTATAGCTCACTGCAACCTCAAACTCCTGGGCTCAAGCAATCCTCTTGTCTCAGCCTCCTAAGTAGCTGGGACTATAGGCATGTGCCATCATGCCCAGCTAATTTTTCTATTTTTTGTAGAAACGGGGATCTCACTTGTTGCTCAGGCTGGTCTTGAACTCCTGGTCTCTCAAGATCCTCCTGCCTTGACCTCCTAGAGGGCTAGGACAGGGGTGGGGAACCTCAGCCTTAAGGCCACGTATGGCCTTCTAGGTTCTTAAGTGTGGCCTTTTGACTGAATCCAAATTTTACAGAACAAATCCTTTTATTTTTATTAATACATTTTGTTCGTCGTTTATATTATTTTATTTTTAAAATGAATATTTAAAATATCAAAGAATAAACAAGTTTCAATAAAATAATCCTCCCAGATTGACTGGTACAACTAAAACATTAGTAAGCCATAAGGGCTAATTTGACAGCTGCTATACTCAGGATTTAGTTCTAATTTCTGCTACCCGACTGGCACCACTACCACAGAGGCTGGTTTGCGAGAGTTTATGGGGGTTAAATATGCAAGTCTACTACCAGCTTTTGACAATAGTGCCCTGTGTTTCTGTTTGAAGCGGAATTTGTGAATAGTTGCACAGCTTCACAGTATTTTTTAATTCTATCTGCTTAACAGCCCATCATGTCAAAGAAGACCAAGAGAACAGAAGGAAGGGAATGGATTTTTTAATGAGATTGGGAATTGCAATATTATCTTGTTTCTGCTAAAGGTAAGATGATTTGCTTGCTTTGTGATACAACACTATGGGCTTTATAACACTCATAAGGACCACAAATATTTTAAATTAGAAGGAGAGGCACAAAAGGTTGTACTGAAGAAATTAAAAGATGAAAAGCAAAGGCAAAGACAATTTTTCAAGCAACAATAAGACCTGGTGGCGGCTCACGCCTGTAATCCTAGCACTCAGGGAAAGCCGAAGTGGGAGGATTGCTTGAGGTCAGGAGTTCAAGACCAGCCCAAGCGAGACTGAGACCCCCTTCTCTGCTAAAAATTAGCTGGGCTTGGTGGTGTGTGCCTGTAGTTCCAGCTCCATGGGAGGCTAAGACAGGAGGATCCCTTGAGCCCAGGAGTTTAAGGTTGCTGGCTGACACCACTGCACTCTATCCTGGGTGACAGAGCAAGACTCTGTCTTAAAAAAAAGACCTGGAAATAATGCCACTGAAGCAATTTATTATATAACGTAGCTTATATACACTCAGGAACAAAGGGAAGCCATTCAGGGATGTAGAAATTGTGAAAGAGTGCATTGTCAAAGTTGTAGGTTGCTTAGACCCTGATAATGTTTCAAAGTACAAACAACTGTGTCTTTCAAAGAGAACCATAACTGATTGGCAGCATGAATTAGCCTTCAACTTAACATTCAACTTCATGCAGTACTTCAAAAGAAAAATTTATATTATTGAATTGTTTTAGATGCATCAACTGATACTACAGACTTGGAGCAGGTTTTATACTTCATTCGGGTCATAACAGAAGATTTTCTTTGCTACGATTTACTCACTTTGAGCACTCTTGTGAACAGAACACAGGTAATAGATATCTTCAACAACTTTCAAGATAAATGTTGTGAAGTTGGACTGAATTTGATAACTTTAGTGAGTGTATGTCCAGATGGTGCACCTTCCATGACAGGAAAACAAAGGGTTTCTTGCACAGATAAAAAAAGTATTAACAGATGCAGATGCTCTCATTTCTTTTTATTGTGTCTT